AAAATATACTCCTCATTTTACGCATCTCGGAGTTGCCCGGCCATGTTAACTAACTAGAAAATAGCTAACACAGGCCGGGACACTCCAGAGAAAGCCCCGGACGAAGCATGACCGCAAACTAACTGAACTGAACTGAACCTCATGTAGCATATGCCCTGACGAAGCAATAGTGAAAAGGCCTTCGGCATGTTCGTGTGTTTTCTTGCCCTTCCCTTCGTTGTTCCTGTTGCACATACACACACACACACACACAGATATAATATATATATATTATATATATATAATATATATATATATATATATAATATATATATATATTATTGCAGCTTACTATTTGCTTCTCGATTGCCATCAAGAAAACGTTTGAGTATGGCATCATTTATGTTATACTCAACCAAACAGCGTGGTATAGATTATATTTTCCTAAATCAAATTCATCGTTGCAATTAACAAAACGGGGGAGGAGGAGGCTAAACAACAATTAAAAAAATACCTGCTCAATCCCACGAAAATCACAACGCAGTGTCGGTCGCGTGAAGGTACAAGAAGGGGAATCCAGTGAAACTCTCGTGGGAATGTTAGGAGTCGCGTCCCCGAGTGGCAACAGCATGAAGAATATAGACGAGATGATCATGGTGAGGAGAATGTGCGTCGGTGACTTCGTAGTGGATTGTGCCTGCTGAAGAAGATTGAGTATTGTGTCAATATCCATTGCCTTCGTTTATTCGGCGCAATTACTAAAACTAAGTATGAAATCCATATTGTTATTGCTGCATATGTATACATGATTCAGAGCAGGTAGAAAATATACAACACTTCAGAAATACAACCTTAGGATAAAAGTTGTGACGACGAAGCCACGTGCGTCCCTTTGAAATGAGCGGTTAAATGTCTGTTGTGTGGTATTTAAATCCGTATCTAGTGGCAGTAACTCTTATCTTCAGTGACGTATGTTCCCGACATTTAAACCGCCTTATCACATATGTGCGTATATTTGCGATGTTTCAGTTGGTATGTGATTTTTAGTAAGACGTGTGTATAAGTTATGTGTCTGATTGTTGAAATATGTTCTCGGTCCGTTTCCTCCCCGGCATGTGCGTAATGATAGATAATAAATTACTGATATTTAAAGGGAAAACGAAAATATTATTTAAAATGTATAAATATATTTCAAAGTAAAATCACACAACATATTCACGACATCACAACAGAGTTACTGTTCGTGTGCACAGTGCATTTGTTACAAAAATCCGGAATTATGAATGATACATAATGCAAAGCTATGGCGCAATGGCAATCACTACGAATACATAGGAAATCCAGCAAACAATATTAATAGAAGTGTATGGCCTGATATGTTTGTTTTTCTTTTTTTTTCACTAAGGTCTCAGAAAGATTTTCAAAGGAAAATGAAACGTCCGGAATACACAGTGTTGGATAGTTTTTTTTTTTTTAAATGTGACTTCCCGGTGTGCTTCAGTTTACACAATGATACGCATGAAATTTTAATGAAACATAGGTATGAATTCCACCATTAAGGACTTCATGCGCACTCAAGCAGTGGTTTCTGGCGAACATAAATCTAAAAACCGTCAGACTCTGCGACATTAGACTGTGGACGTCGATGTAATCTGAAGTATTTATTTTGGGAATTTGAATCATCTTCAGGAATATCGAATCCACGCTTAATCTTGCTCAGAACCTTTTGTATATTTGTACTTTTTTCTAAAACTTTAAACTTTAAACACTCATTTTCAGTAAAAGCTTATCTTTTTCCTCAGTTTTCTGTATTTTTTCCATGGTCATGCAGAAAGGATTCGTTCATGAAATTTCCAGGGGAACTTTCAAAAGGCTCATTCAAAGATATGTCGTTCGAAGTGTTGCCGTTCCGTTTAATTTGTCTTTCGTGGCCGACACTGTCGTGTTTCAGGAAGCGATTAATGCACATAAGAAAAACAAGAAATAAACATACTGTTAAAGTACAGAAAACTGCAATTGCTTCAACGTAATGCGTTGTAGATTCCTCTATGCCTATCCCACTGCATGATATGGGTGATTGCGATGTTTCTGATCCTGTGATTATACCAATAGCCCTTATTTCAAGTTTGCCATCTAGCCTTTCCAGAGTCACCCTGACGCCTGGAGGAACTAGCAACTCCTGAGTGTCTCCTGCTCCGACTCGACTGTCGACCATGACGAGAGAAGCGTTATCCTGAAGTGCTGTCTTGTCTAATCGCATGTATGCAATGTCGCTGGTCCAAAACTGT